GGGGGGGGGGAGATTTGTCGCCTGCAGCGATTGTGCTAGCTCTGCGGGCGGACACAAGAAGATGGAGCGCCGTAACCTCCTTCTATGAGCAGGTAATGCTCCGGGAAGAGCTGGCAGAGCGGGAGAGAGAAAGAGTAGGTGCGGGCGGCCGAATGCGGCGTAGAGGCCGTAGGCGCCGTACCTGACATTAATTCGGGGTTGCGGTAACAACAGAACCCCGGCTACTCGGGGCCTGGCCACATTGCACGGTCGCAGGGGCAGGGGACGCAGGGTGGTGTAGTCACTCCCTGCGACAAAACCACGCGGCAATGGCAGGGGTAGAGAGACCAGGAAGTTTACCCACCCCTGCTCGGTCTGGGGTAAAAACACGCACGAGAGGAGACCGGTTGTGTTCGACAAGAGTTCCCGGTTCAAAAAGGTGATAGTTCGTTATGTAGTTGTGAAATTTTACGTTACAGTGGTTTCGAATTAATTGCTTAACTTCTTTTGTGATAGCGTTTAATCTGCTTTTGTTCTGCAGTGTTTTGTCAGATACTTTTTATTTTACGTTTAGACTTAATTCTCTGCAGTATAAAGGCTGCATAGAATAGAAACTTTTTTTGTTTGATGGCGATCCAGCCTGCTTCTTATATTAAATCAATGAAATTCATTGCTGCTAATTCAATTTGTTCCGATGTCTTTAGAGGTGCATTACAATTTATGTTAGCTCCTAAATATTATTCAAATTGAACCCAGTTAGTGCTATTGTTATATAAATGATTTCTTCCGTTTGTATACATTGATTTGGATGAATCAATAAGAATCGGAGAGTAATCGGAAGTAAGGTCCAAGCAGGGCTAAGCTATGAACGAGCTAAGCTAATGAATTGCAATGTCCAGTAAATCCAAAGTTTTTTCTTGTGTCAATGGCCAACATATTCGTTCGTTCATTGATATTATATTCAATAAGAGTTTTCGTATAGCTTGTTCTAAAATTTTACCTCGCGCTATATTTGTTTTTGAGCCTCATAAGTTATTTTTAGCGTTAAACTCCCCACCAGCAATAAATTTGTTCTCTAATAAGTTGAAGAAGCTTTCGTATTGCTACACCGATATTTTTTGATTTGGAAGGCTAAAGATAGCAGCCAGTGTAATATTGCCACGACTAGTGTTTGTTACAGTGGTAGCTTGTATGTGTACATCAGCGATCGAGCATTGGAAAAAGTGCTTAATGTCTTGTTTGATAAATTATCGCTGAGCCACCACGTACCCTGCCAAATGGATATTTAGTATCATAAACATTATAAAGTAGAATTTTGATAAATCTTTTTATTGTGAAATGAGTTTCTGCAATGAGCAGGTCCGTATCCAGAAAAACATTTAACAATCGTAGTTGACTCGACTTTGAAAAAGGAGCCTTTGACCTTAGTACCTTTGTCTCTACCTGAGAATGATCTGATTGAGCCAAACGTGCTAAGGTCATTTCCGCGTGCCTTAACTTGATGGTTGTCAATGTTTTACTACACTGAAGGTGTTTTTGCATTTCTCTTATTTCTTGCGTTATTTCTGAATCGGAGACAATAAGCTACGACCCTAAGCAAAAAGTGTGAAATTGGAGAATTTTGAAAAGATACTAGATTCATTTGTCAGAAGTGTCGTGGTGATTTGCTTGTTCCTTTTTCCCGGAGGATCTATTGGCTGTTGCAAAAATGTTGGCCATGCATTATCCGATTTATTAAGCCAAGCCAGACTTGACCACCAAAGAGTTGTGTCAATTAAATGCTTGGCTGAACACCTCGTGAAATTAAATCAGCTGGGTTATCTTCTGATAAGATATGCCTCCAACTGTCGGATTTTCTGAGTGATTGGATTTCCGCGACTAGAATGTTTTCCATCTGGTAGGAGAACTTCGAAGCCAAGCAAATGTCATTGTTGAATCGGTCCATAAATATTCGTTTACAGACAGTCCTCTTAATGCTGATCTAACCTCACTAATAAGATTTGCTAATAGTACGGCTCCGCATAATTCTAACCGCTGCAACGAGACTGTTTTTAACGGGGCTACTTGCGATTTTGTGCATAACAGTCTCGTTGTCCATCTGCCTGTATCGTCTCGAGTTCGCAAGCATATGCACGCATAAGCGCTCTGAAGCGTCTGAAACTTCTTTATCTATGCTCTCGAATTTGAGTTATTAATTATACCACACCGTGGAGTAGTTAAATTCTGCATGTATAGGTTTTCTACCGGTATTTTACCCGTTGTGTGTACAGCTCTTGTGAAATTGATTCGTCCCAACTTGATTTTAGTTGCTAAAGACGTTGTAATATTAATTTTGCTGTAATGGTCATAGGCCTTAATAAACCCAATGGATCAAATATCTTTGCTATGTCTGATAACGTGCTACGTTTTGTGACGCGCTTGCTAATTGTTATTGCGCATTTGAATTCTAAGATATCAGTGCTTGGTGACCACAATAAACCTAATATTTTTGAGTCCTTGTCTGCTTAAATTTCGATTTGATCCATTGTGTTTGTACGTTGCTGGATTATTTCGCGGTGGTTAGATGCCCATTTCCGTAAATGAAAACCATGCTAGTGTAGTTGCTAGTTTGTGTTTCGTGTCCCTTGAACGATTTTCCCGGTTCCCGGTAGAAGATCATTTACATAAAAAACATTCATAATGATCTGGCTGACTCGAAGAAACATATCCATATGTTAAGTTCCTATGTCATGTAGCACCAGTGTTGCTAAGATAGGAGCTGATGCTATTCCATATGTTACAGTATTTAATTGATATGTGTATATGGGTCTGTCTGGCCTTGCTCGCCACAGACCCCGAAGCATCTTTCATCGGGCCTAAGATTTGCCAATATATCTTTTCAATGTCGGATGATAGTACGGAGTTGTACTGCCTGAATCTAACTAGAATGGGAAAGAGATCTTTTTGAATTGTCGGTCTTACTCGTTGTACATCATTCATAGACAGACCCGAGCTGTTTAGTTGAACATCGATGATTCAAAATCTTGTGGTGGTACTGTTTTTTTTTTTTTTTTTTTTTTTTTTTTTGAAACAGCGTAATGAGGAAGATAGTATACCGGTGGTGTTCAATCTATCGGTTCAATTAACTTAGTTATGTGACCTAGCCGTTCATACTCATCTAAATGATACACATTCTCTCAACGCTAAGTTTTTATTTAGTTTGCGTTCCAATGCGAGGAATCGGATTTCGGCCTGTTCGCAAGAATTCCCCAAGTCCTTCAGATTGTCTTTGATACAATATAACGGCCTGATGATGACCCACCATTGTTACGTCTTGCGGAAGTCTGTTTCGACATCGTCGGAAAATCAACTAGACTTTTGTACAAATAAAACTTTATTTACCTGTAGACTACACCATCCGAACGTCTACACAGTTCGATGGTGAGACAGCGACTTTTTATTTGAACATTGCCGGTCGTCAACGAAACGACCAGCCGATCAATACATCGATATTCGCAATCGAAGGAGCATCTTCAAAGGATAACAAATGTGATATCCTGCTGTGTCGTGTCCCTAAAATGCTATTCGCACTCATCTGTTCTATTATCTGCCTTTGTAATTGCATATGTAAGTCGTCATCTATGGATGCATGACAAGTTGATTGTTAATGGGCAATCTTCCTCCGAGTACCCATTCTAATTGCGTCTTTTATAATAGTAGCTGTGCGTCTAGTCTTGTTCTATGCATGAAAGTCTCCAGAGTAATCCTGCTCTGATGAGCATCTATTTTTCTACATCGATAAAACTGTGGGTCAGCTAATTGCGAGTGATGTGGAATTTTTAGTCTTTGATGTGGTAGTGGTATATTTGACACATCTGTGATAACAGTATCTATTGTTAAACATGAAATGCTGGTCTTGAAGCTATTGCATCTAGAAAATATTTGAACCTGAGTTGTTTCCTTTATTGTATTGCTTGCCTTTCCAATGCCAGCTACTATGGAGTTGGTCGGTACAACTTTGAGGCCTAATGTTTTGCAAAGATTATTGGTGACGAAATGCGCTTGGGACCCGGAATCTAACAGGATCCTGCATTCTTTTGTCCTTACA